GGACCATTACAAAGCTCAAAGTTATTACAATGGACAGATCCTGATGGTCAACAGGGCTCCTTCCATCCTTATGTACTTCCTGGTCTGCCTGTTAATTTATGGGGAAGAGATGTTCTGTCACAACTGAAAGTTATGATCTTTAGTCCAAATACTCAAGTTTCTAATATGATGTTTAGACAAAGTTATACTCCTCTTGGCGGAGTAAGGAAAGAACAAGGCCATATGCAACCTGTACAAGGTCAACCTAAATATGTTCACTCTAGGTTAGGATATCAAAATTTGTAACTGGGACCTTGGTAGCTCCTGCTACCTCATGTAAGGTTACTGCTGGAAAAATATCTTGGAAGTCTGATGATCCCGTTTGGCCCCTAACTCAGGAGAAGTTATCCGCAGCCCAGCACCTAGTTAAAGAACACCTTAAGGCAAGGCATATTGAGCCTTACATTAGTCCTTGGAATACCTCAATTTTTGTCATTAAAAAGAAATCAGGGAGATGGAGGTTATTACAGGACCTCCGGGCAGGTAATTTGGCTATAGAAATCATGGGTGCCACGCAACCTGACCTTCCTATGCCCACTATGATTCCTTGGAATTTTCATTTTATGATTATATATTTGAAGGACTTTTACTATACCGTTGGATCCTGAAGATAAGAAACGCTTTGCTTTTAGTGTTCTTTCACTTAATTTTAAGGAACCCATGAAGAGGTATCAATGGAAGATTCTTCCACAAGGTATGGCTAATAGTCCTACACTGTATCAAAATTTTGTTGCTCAAGCAGTATTGCCAATTAGAGAAAAGTTTCCAAACTCCTATATCATCCATTAAATGGATGACATTTTGCTTACGCATGCAGAAAAAGAGTATTATTGCAAGCGTATGCAGAATTGCAGGTATCTTTACAGAACTATGGTCTTTGCATTGCACCAGAGAAAGTGCAGAGGTCTGCACCTTTTTCATATTTAGGAACTATGATTTTGCAGCGTACGGTTAAACCACAAAAAGTTCAGATTTGATTTAACTCATTAAAAACGCTTAATGATTTTCAAAAATTACTCGGAGATATTAATTGGCTTAGACAGCAGTTAGGAATCACCACAGGACAACTGCAGCCTCTGTTCGATATATTGAGAGGGGATTCTGATTCTTCTTCTCCCAAAGAGTTAACTCTTGCTGCTAAGCAAGCTTTACAATTAGTAAATGAAGCAATACAAAAAACACAGGTCTATCATATAGATCCCTCTCTGCCTTTGCTACTAGTAATCTGCCCAACTAAGCCTCTACCAACTGGGATTATTTGGCAGAGATCAGGCCCAATAGAGTGGCTGCATTTACCAAATTCTGGTCTAAAAGTTCTTAACCCATATTATGAATTAGTTGCTATTCTTATAGATAAGGGTCGAATCTGGATGCGATAGCTCTTAGGAAGAGATGCTAATACTATAATTATTCCTTATAATCAGAAACAGTAAGCATGGTTGCATCAATATTCTGATTCACGGTTATTATCATTAGCTCAATGTGACGCAACCATTGATTGTCATTATTCACTTGATTAGCTGATACAGTTTTTGCTACAAACACCTATAATATTTCCAAAGGTAATTTCCTAGGTACCTAGCCCTAAGGCCATTACTGTCTTCGCAGATGGCTCCAGCAGTGATATTGCTGTGGTACATACTCCTACTCTGACTTATTCAAAACAGACTAATATGACTTCGGCTCAGAGGACTGAATTATTGGCTTTAATCTGGGCTTTAGAGTTGTTTCCACAACAACCTGTAAATATTTATTCAGACAGTGCTTATTTATATACTGTAAGTCTAGTTATTGAAACTGCCTTTATTGGACATATGGCAGATGAAAGTCTCTTCCATTTATTTATACAGCTCAAAAGCTTATTCGAGCTAGAAAAGACCTATGCTTCATTGGACATATAAGAGCACGCTTGCAGCTCCCAGAGCCACTGGCCAAAGGAAATGAACATGCCGATTGCGCTACCCATGCTGATGGAGCTATTCCTATTTACCATTTGTTGATTGCTGCGCTCTCTACCCCTACGCTGTTAGCAATAGAAAGTCATCAATTTTGCCATCAGAATGCATCTGCCCTATAGAAGCAATTTGGACTGACTAGGGAAAGTGTTCCTCAAATTGTTAAGCAATGTCCTCAATGTCAGATCCAGGGGACTGTCAGATCCAGGGGACTGTTACCTAATCACATATGGCAGATGGATGTTACTCATGTGGGATCCTTCCGCAATACCCACTATGTACATACTACTGTAGATAGCAGTTTAGGATTTATTTTCGCTACTGCTCGTTCGGGGGAAGGCACTAGTCATGCAATTAGTCACTGCTTGCAAACATTTGCAGTCCTAAGTCTTCCTAAGCAAATTAAAACTGACAGTGGACCTGGGTATACTAGTAAGACATTTCAACAATTCTGTCATAAATTCTAGATTGCATATATTAACAGGTATACCCTATAATCTACAATGCAAGGCATTGTAGAACGAGCTCATTGCACCCTCAAACTTCAAATACAAAAACAAAAAAGGGGAGTTAGCCCCATGACTCCTCAAAATATATTCAATCATGTACTTTTCACTTTAAATATTTTAAACACAGATGATGATGGTCGAACAGCTGCAGAAAGGTTCTGGTTCCCTTCGAGGAATCCACGATCAGTAGTTCGTTGGAAAGATCTAGTAACTAATGAATGGCATGGCCCGGATCCCATTTTATTATGGGGTCGGGGGCATGTTTGTGTTTTTCCTGAAGGTGCTGACAGACCCCACTGACTGCC